CTGGAGTGGCGGCGGAGCGCGGCAAAGCCGCCCCGGCGCTGCCTTCCCTGGGCGCCGACGTTGGACAGCTCCGCAAGGCAAAGACCTCGCGGCGCAACGCCTGGGGCAATTTGTCTTACGCGGATCTCATCACCAAGGCGATCGAGAGCTCCCCGGAGAAGAGGCTCACCCTCTCGCAGATCTACGACTGGATGGTCAGATACGTCCCCTATTTTAAGGATAAAGGAGACAGCAACAGCTCAGCGGGTTGGAAGGTACCTTGACGCCTCCTTTCCCTCCCTCCCCATCTCTTGCTCTCTACCTGACTTCTGAAGGGATTCCAGAGCCCTGGGTTCCCAGAGCTGCTCCTGAAGTTTGCTCCAGCTCTGAACCATCCAGGATTGATGTAGCCCCCAATACACTTCATGGGGATTGCTTACCCAGTGGCAGGCTTGAAGCATACCCTTTCTTCTGTAGTAAGGAAGTTTAATTAAAGACTCTTAAAATTATAGTGCTCTCCCTCCCCTTCTGTCCTTCCTCCTGCTTGCACATAATTTACTGAAAAAGAGGTGATTTGACTGAGACAGTGATTAGGACACAGGTGGTGGCAGCCACAGTTGCAGAATTGGTAGCCACTCCAGAACGATTCTAAATTAAAGTCTGTTGTCTTTGTGATGGGTGCTGATGGGGCAGAACGCTTACCTTTGTGGCAAAGTAGGGACAAGTTTACCCAGGTTCTCTTGGAGACCAGCACCTGATTCATGCCAGGTAGATGCAGCAAGAGAGTGGCTCTCGTCATCTCTTGGGTTTTTTGGAGGGAAATGGAAGGAAATGAATAACTCTTCCTGCCTCTTTAGAGCTACTCTTTAGAATAGACTTGTTCGATTTACTGGAGCAAGCTGGGCAGTTCCTCTCACCCCTTCTCCCCCACTGCTCATCAGAGAGATCATTCTTCAGCTGTAAAGACACACCTGTTCAGCTGCTGGGCCCATCTGTCATCTTTTTTTTCCTTTTCTCCAAAGTGTGGGTGGGGGACGGGCTGTGTGAGGACAGTCTCTCAACCATTTTTGTTGCAGTTCAGTGACACCTCTCTGGCATGACCGAGGGAGGCAGATGTGGATTTGAAGCTTTTCTTGTGGTGTGTTTGATTGATACAGCAGCACTTGAAGAGGAAGAAGAAGAAAAAGAGAGACATGAAAAGTTTTGTCTGTCTGTTGGGGCACAGAGTAGATAATTTTGGAGATAATTTTGTAAGATTCCCTTAAGAAAAACCTTTTGCAATGTCATGTATGCTGTTACAGCTGCTATAAATCCCCACAGCTTGTTGCCACTTAAAATGCAGCTCATATGTAAACCCACTGGGACAGGGTTTTTTTTTTCCCAACTGAAGATACGTGACCATTTTGAGATCTTGTGTTCTGAGGAGTTGTAAACAGGAGAGTACAGTTAAGCTGTCCACATCAGCTAGTTCCAAACTTTGCCAGGCTTTAATGCCGTGCAACACAGAACATGTCTGCTTATTAAAGATGGGATAAAGATTTGGTAGGACTCTTCTTTCTCTTCTCAGCCCCCAACCTCTGTCTGTTATTGATGTTTTGTCTTGTATGAAAAGAGGAATAAATGGCAGTGCTGGTGCTGCAGCTTTTTTTTGGAAAAGGTTAAGCATCTTGTCTAGGTCTGTCCCCTAGCAAGTGTGCTTTCCAAAGGGAGCATGAAAGAAGTTCTTTTCTACATGGGAACTTACCCATGTGTAAACGGACCTTGTTGGCCCAGGGGTGTGGTTGTGGAAAGTCAAGAGACAGGAGATGCCATTCTTTCTCTTTTCTCTTTCTGTGTAAGACAGAGGGAGGCAAGTGCCTTTCTGGGTTTGGCTCTTCTGGCAGAGCTCCAGGATGTTGCCTCTTGATTATTAACTATTTCTGTCACTTACGAGCGATTTCCCTTTTGTTGTGACTTAGTGAAGAATTGTGTCACATACCCCTGAGCTTACAAGGAGCGTGTGTGGGTGTGTGGGTGCTGGTATACTTTTTTCAGTTCACTGAGAGGCACACAGCTATAGTCCTTCCCAGCACAAAAGTAAAGAGGTGCTTGAAGAATGAGGTATCTTGCCCACACCTTCCAATATTGGGTGTTCAGATATGAAAGGGAAACGAGAATATTGTAATATTGCAGTCTGAAAGTGTAAATTTAAAAAAGGAGAAAGTTCTGTTTGACCTCTCTTTTTTGCCTTCTAACTGTTCCATAAGATATTAACATGTTCATTCAAGTAAGTTCATTCCTGAACTCATTGTTCTCTGCAAGTCAGGAGTGTTCTTAGAGTTCTAGCCCTCTATGCTGTACCTGGATTTGCTCTCAGCACCCTCTTTCCTTCTCTCTGTTCTGGTTACTTTTCAATAGCTAAAGATGTATTTGGTTGCTCCAGGGCCCTGAGGGCCATGGGCTGTAAGGAGAGTCATGCTGGATCAGAATCGGTTCTGTCACAGGAATAGACTTTGTATACTAGGTCAGACTATTTGCTGATCAAAGTTGACATTTTCTATTCTGATAGATAAACTCTTATCTATGGCACCCAAGTGTCTTTCCTCTTATATCAACTGGAATCCTCAGGGAAGTCTACATATGGGGCATAGAGACAAGCCTTCTCCCACTGTTAGTCTCTTAGCACCTGAGCTTCAGTAGGCTGGTGCCTCTGACTAAGCATCACTGTGTTTCAGATTATCTCCACTTCAGTGGGTCTTTAGCAAGACTGTGCATAAGCCCAGCTGAAATGGAGGCTTGCCTCACACTAGCAGTGCTGAGTGGATTGTGTCCTCAGGTATGTTTCTATGATATTTTTTGGTTCAGAACCCCCTGTCTAAAATCTGTGACAATTATACATGGGCGATTGAATGTGCAAGTAAGAGAACACTAGCAATATCCCCAGCTATGCTGTGCAGCAAGTGCTTCATATAGTAAAATTGTGGACTTCTGCTGTAGTTTGTCCTGAATTCCCTGGTGGGTAGTGGCTATGATCTCTTATTCCACACCTGTCCTGCTGTTCCAGATGCTGTATGATAGAATGGGACTCAGTGGAGTGCAGTTAGATTTCTTTGCAGACACTTAACTTTCCCTTTCCTCCAAATTTTAAGAAGAGTTCAGCAGGATATGACTTCCACTCATTGGTAGTGGCTGCTGGTAATGGCAAGAATGGACTTAGCAATTGAAAGCAAAAGGTTGCACATTGCACATAGGATTGAGGCATGGCTAGGAGTTTGTGAATTCTCTTCCAGAGCTCTGTCATGATGGATCCGAGAGTCCTACACTTCTGGAAGTATATATGTCTATCAAACCCCTTTTTTCAGATCCAACTGCACTTCCATATACTGGGTTAGCCCAGGCCAAAGTCCCCAGTTATTCTGGACTGTGGAGATCAGAGAGGTACTGCAAAAGTGTATCACACTCTGCCAAATCAGAGCTGTTTGGACCCGTCCTTGAAAGCATCAGTTCTGGTTCATTTCTTGTGCAGCTACTTTTGTTCTCTGAGATATGGCTGCATTTCTCTGACAGATAATGAGGTGTATCTCCCCATGCCCCACCTTCCTTCTTTGGATTGCTGAAGTACGGATTCATCTGTGCTGCATAGGGACTGGGGTTCAAGACTAGATCTGTAGAGAAAGTAGAGTCAGAATATGGACAATCTTTTTGTAATCTGGGCTACATAGCCACATAGGGTTTGATGGGTGTATTCATGTGATACCTTTTGCTGCAGATTGCAGCAGGTCAGAGGGGAGTAGAGTGTAGCAGTGATGAGCATTTTCCAGCCAAGCTGCTAAGAAGGGAAGCCAGGTTGAAGGACAGTCCAAAATACTGATTTAGGCATGCTATCATTTCTTGTTCTGTTTCATGCTTGGTCTTGATTTGCTGTTGTTTTTTTCCCAAACAAGAAGGAGAAATATGGTTCCTTAAGAGTTGTTTTAAAAAGACATTGAGGAAAGGTCACAGCTATAGGAACTTGAAACCAATGCATCTTTGAACAAATTATTCATCCGCTGCCAAGATGTGCAGATGGGTAGCCAGGAGAAAGCAACTCATTTCCATTCATATGTGGAACTGCAACTCCCGTCTTTTCATACTGTTAGCAGTATTGACTAGGAATGGTGATAGTTGACATTCAGCAATATCTGGCTGGTCTCAAGTTGCCCACTTGTGTGTGAGGCTAATCATTGATAAATGCAGTAGATAGCTAATATGATCAGGCCCGTCACCAGTAGTCAGCATAATATGGACACCTGCTGATGCTTTGCTCTTAGCCGAGATCCCAGGAACAGGTACTATCTCTACTCTTGTCCACTCTTTTTCTCACTTCCCTTTCCCAGTAATGGCTGGGAATGGTGATAATCATATGAGCCATCACCATCTCTTCCTAGCAAGACTCAGCACCTACTAGAGCTCTTTGCAGGAGCTCTTGCAGGCCATGAGATTGCATCTTTCCTCTCTGCCTGTTCTGATCATTCCTGATTGTGAGCAGGAGGGGCTCCTGAGTCTGCAAAGAGAACGGAGAGGGGAAAGGCTGCAGCAATACAAAAGAAGATAGAGGTGATGGTGGCAGGAACAACTCCATCTCAAGCACACATGAGTCTTCCAATACAGAAACCGGGAGAAAATGCTATTGGTCCCTTCTCTGTTGGTCCCATGGAATCTAAGAATTCACCCTGAACTTGATCTCAGACAGGGCTGGGTAATTTTGCAGCTCTGGGTCTACACTAGGAATCCTCCAATGGCCTCACAAACCACTAAAATGCCAAACAACACATGCATGCATACATGCATGCACGCACACATGCATACACACACAGAGCCAAACACCCCAACCCATATCCAGAAACAGCCATAAATTCACTTCCAGTTTTGGAAGGTGTACCACCTCTGTTTTGCAGGTTGCCTGAAGTAGTACCTGTTTTATGTTGAATTATATTTCTGGGGAGGGGGGCAAAGTTGTGAGGCCATGGAAAGCAAAGTGAAGTTTCAGGGAGCTACACTTTGTCCACCACTGATCTGGGAGATTAATTCCTTCACAGATCCCATTCGGATCACATGTTAGACTAATTCACCAAGTCACTTGGAGAGTAAATATGTCTCACAACATGGTGCATGAAAGAGCATTTTCCTTTTCAAAGTGAGTGGCTGAGCCTTGGGTTCTTGTTGTACTCCTTTCGCAGCCTTCTCCAACCTGGTACACTCCAAATATTTTGGTCTCTAATATCCATCATCCACAACCAGTACAGTCAAGATGGAA